GCACACATTTATATATCACAGTACTAAATGACAAGAGCACTACATAGAATAGGTTATTCATATAGTCAAAGAATAAAAATCTTCACTGATAATTAAGAAACTAATGGCACATTTTTGTTTCATAAGATAATCACCAAAGCACACACATTCCAAATTTCTCAAGTGCAAAGGGAAGGGCTGAAAAGTAGCTAATAACTATATATGAATAAAGCAAAGTATTCCACATCCAAGAAAGAAATTCATATATGCCTTCTTAAAACAACAGCCCCAGTAACACAATTCAAGTAATAATATAGGAGAAAGAGATCACAATGAAATTAATTACTCATATTTTAAATAGCCTTTCAAGATTCATAAAGTATAAAATAGAAACCAGCTGTCAAGCTCTCTGTCAAAGGACATGATTGACAACCAAGAATCACACAAATTTCAAGAAGACAGTTGAAAGCAGGAATTACAGGTAGGGCATAGAAATTTGGAAACTATCAGTATTTTAATTTTACTTTTCCCAGTCTTTCTGCAGCCAGGATTGTGCTATAGATTAATTATTTCTATTTCTTTTTCGCTTTCTCACAATATCTCAAATTCTTGCTAATTGCTATTTGTCACTATAGATCTACGAGAGATACTCTGTCTTGAAATCTTTTTTAAAAAAAGACAAATAATTTTGTATTTGAATCTTTTTTTAAAAAAAATAAGAAACTAGAACTGAAATTGTAATGTAAACTGGGAAAATTAAAATGTTAATGTGAGCTGGGATTGCTTTTGGTTGTTCTAGTTACTTTCAGAATATTCATAAACAGACTTGGAGTACAGCTCTCTAATTTTCAAGCCAAGGAAATTAAAATCCGATAAAGTATTTCTAAGTGTTTACTATCAGACTAGTTCATGTACATTTATTATTTATATCCCACCTTTATTATTTTTACAAATAACTCAAGGCAGTGAACATATCCAGCACATCTTACTCTTCTTACTTTCTCCACAACAACAACTGGCTTTCATGGCTAAGGGGAGACTAGATCTCACAGTTTCCCACTTTCTAGCCTGCTGCTTTAACCACTAGACAAAACTGGCTCTAAAACATTTACTACCCTCAAACATTTACTTTGCTTAACTTTAAGGCTCAACTACAGATTTTATGAAACAAATATGTAATTGTTTTCAATATTTCTATACAAGTCAATGGACTATACAATAGATGATCTGAATCAAATTTTGGATTTTTTTTAAGGTTGTAACACTCCAACATTCAAATTACATTCTTAGATTCCTAATATTTTGCTAGATTGAATGTCTGATTTCAGTATAATGGATATTTGATATTTTACGATTCATAGTAATTATTCACATGAACTTTGGATTAACAAACTTGAATGTTGTGATCTGACCACTTAAATAATCACATTAAAAAAGGATGTTAAGTTTCCTATAATCTTGACATTGTAGTTAATTAAAAATGTATGTGTGTATGCTGAATGTTTAATAAGGATTAGTTGCAATTACTTTTCTGCTAGAGATGTAACTTAGAAATTAGTATATATATCAAATTATTGTTCTGTACTGTTTATGTGGCTCTGGGTCAGTCATATACTAAGTGTGTACATGTTCTTCTTGGTTAAATGTACAATATTTGAAATATATCAAAATAAAATTAATTCTTCATTTTCCATAATAATTTTCTGGAAAAAATATCTTCCTGTTTCAAATATGAATTGATTTCCAGTTTCTACAATGTTTGGGAATGCTTACACGTTCTTCAAAACCCCCTTACTCTGAATTTCAGTTCTCAATTTGCATAAGAAAAATATTTAAGACACACAATATTAAGCAAATGACTTTCAAATCACGTTAATTCAGTACTCACATGGAGCTGAAGTGTGTGAAATTAGGATATGTATTTGTTATACTAACAGCATTTCAAACTATGTGGGATAATCTATAAGCATAAACCAATCAAATCATTCAACATTATATAACATTTATGATTTCAACTAGATTTGTTAAAACCCAATCTAGAGAGAAACATAGTTACTATCTGAACTGATGAAGTGAAAGTTCATTTTCAGGAAACGATACAGTGAATAACTGCAATCTACAGCACCAAGGATGGATGGATATCTAAGAGTTCAGGCTATAAAAAGAAATTAGTTATATAATTACTAAAATAGCTGATGAAGCATGATATTGCCATATGGAAGAGGTAGTAGAATTATAATTTAATGGAAAAGTCCAACATTACTTGCCCTTTATTCAGTAGAGGCAAGAACAGATACTTAACATTCATATTAACAGCTTTACATCTCAGTACTTTTTGATGCCATTTCTCTGCAACAAGGGTGTATTAGGATGATGGCATGGGATGCCAAGATTACAGCTCTTACTTTGTGAGAATAAAGAAACAAAATGTATACTTAACATGAATATTAAAATATACATTTATCTTTTTTCAGCTATTCAGGATGTCCTAACCTTCTAAATTTATAGATTTGCCAAATATAATCAGAATCAGAACCTGTACAGTATAGCCCTGTGTGACATGCCCTCTGAAGATCTACACATTTCAGCATTCTTGCTGATTTCTTCAGAATAATCTGTCAGAATAAAGCTGAAATAGAGTGAGGGTTGGCTAAAAGATAGTGGCTGAAATAAGATATGATAATAAGATATACTAAAATTAATGCTACAGTGAGCACAATTATTCCACATGGATTTTTAGTTGGGATTCTAAGATTGTCTAGTAGAGCTAGCCATATGTCTTGCCTTGTAGATAGAAATGTAAGGATATTTTTAAAACAAGAAAAAAACCTTAATCTTGAGATTATGTTTTATGGATACTAACATATCTATAACTTCCTTGCAATATTTTCCTCATTTGGATCATATCAAGGAACCAGGTATGTATTGGTTCCTTTAGATCAAATCATCTTGTCTCATCATCTTGTCTCATCTTTTCTCTTGTTCAATTCTATCAAGATTTCTTCTTGAAAGGAAAATATTGTGATAACCCTAGCTGGAATCCTAGGATAACGCTAGCTAGTTTATTTCATAATTTTAGCCATTGTCTATCCTCTGCAGGATGAAGGCCTCTTCCGCATATTTCCAACCAATAAAGTCCTGAGCTTCTTTTTCCAGTTGGGCCCTTAATACTTTCTGATGTCGTCAATCCATCTTGTTTTAGGTCTCTTTCATAGACACTTCTTATCAAGTGGGATCCATTCTATGAATGCCATAGTCCACCTGCCATCAGTTATTGTTATGTGACCAGCCCATTTCCATTTCAATTCTTTTACTCGCTTGATATCATATCCTTTCGTTTGTTCTCTAATCCATGTGCACGTCTTTCTATATGGTCTTTTAATGCCGAACATGTATCTAGTTTATTTACTGGGATCAATATTTAGCATGTTTGAACATAACCAAACCCATTAAAATTATATAGAAATTGATGCTCAAGTTGCAATAATATATAATATAAACTGAAATAACGAATAACTTGATTTGATATAAAAAACCTGCAGCCTTTGAACTTTCTGGACTCATGGTGGTAGAAAGGGAAAAGCAGAGGGAAATATTCTCCCTTTAGAAAAAAGCTGAAGGGGAGCCTAAGAATTTACAATCAGTGAAAAGCAGAGACAAGGAAAAAAACTAAGAAGGTATCCCTTGCTTGCTCTCTATTCCTATTGCCAATAGTGGTTAATAATATAAAAAGACATCAGAGATTATATTTCTGGAGCTGAATGCAGAGCTGGTTTAGAAGTTTCTAAAATCAATCAGAAAAAATAAATAAATTGTCAGATTCTTTTTCCAGACAAAATTATTTTTGATCTCAAAGTAACAATCTGACTAAACATACAATTTTAGGATGCTATCCAGGTCATAGGATATCAAACTTAGAAGAGAAAGGACTTCATGCAGGGATCCAAGAAAAATAACTATTAGCAGAAATGTAAGTTATTATTTTTTTTCTCCTTCAATGAGACAGCAAAAGTTGTTAATATATTTGGAAACATTCTAATATATTTTTTAATTCAAGTTACTTAAAATTTGAAGCTTGCTTTTAAACATACAATATGAAATGTTTGTTTAAAAGAGAGAGATTATTCAGAATTTTAAAATACATAAAAGAAAGTTAATTGAAATAATTTCCATATCTGTGCAGGACTTCTGATTATATTTTATACCACAGTCTTTTAAGGATACTCATTAATTGTAATTAAAAGCCATTTAAAACCACATTAATTTTGCCTTAGAGCGTAAGCTACAAACCTCATGCTAAATTCTAAAAAAAAGGAAGAGAAAGAGAGAAACCAATTTAATTATTTTGCATCTTACTGAATAAGAATTCAAGATTTTACTTTTACTGCTTCCATACACTTTTTATTTCAAATATATTTGTATATATTTTATAACAGGATTCATAGTATAATGGAATACTTTAAAATAGATTTTGAATTAATGATATCTATACTAAATAATGAGGGATGAGATAAAAGAGATATTAGAGCTTTAATAATTATTCAATATAAGGAAAAACAAATATTGTTTGAGTTTCTGACCTTCTGTAAAACTGTTTTCATTAAGGCAAGCCTCTCACTCATTGCTTAGAAAATCTACAATACTCAATAATTGATCATGGTACTAGTTTTTAATGGGACTTTAAGTACTAAATATACATTTTGGAAGAGAAGAACAAATGCTGATAGAACTGTAATGTAACAAAATTAGGAATCATAAGTTGTAACTCAAACAATGACAAGACTTTGAAATAATTTAATTAAAACATCATACATTGATTAAACTATTTGAAAGAAGAAAAATTTTCTTCACAACTAATCTTATGAAATGCATGGTAGAAAAATAAAAAACAACAACTAGATATCATACCCACATCTTCTATATTTTTCATCATTATTATTTGATGAATGTTCTTGAATTTTCTAGTGAAAACAGGATTTTCATTCCATTTTATAAGTGTGATAGTAAACATCATGTCCTACCTATTATTAATGGTGGCCCATGCATCGTTAATATTATTGGTCATTATTTGTACTTTTCTGGTGTCATCAGTTGAGTAATCCCGAAGAAGTTTAAGAGCCAAATCATTTGCTACATCCACATTTATATGCCATTGCCGTAGCTCTTTTGCAAATTGCTGGAAAGAAAGAAAAATATGAGCATTTTTTCAGAAAGGCCTCAGTAAGTTACACAAAGCAATTTAAACACTCATAATAGAAACATATGTAGGTAGACCCTGATTTAAAACCACAGTTAGAACCAACATTTCTATTGTTAAGCCAGGTAGTTGTGAACTGAAACCTGTTCAATTTTACAGTTTTTTGGAATAGTTGTTCAGTAAATCAATATGATCCTTAAACAAATCACATGGTTATTAAGCTAATTTAGCTTCCTCCATTCACTTGGCTTGTTGGAAGCTGGCTGGGAAGGTCACAAGTGGTCATTATGTGAGTCTGGAATACTGCAACCTTTATAAATACATGCCGTTGCCAAGCACCCAAATTTTCATCACATGTCTGCAGTGATGCTACAACTTTCATAAGTGCGAGGATCTGTTGTAAGTCACTTTTATCAGGCTGTTGCAACTTGGAATAGTCGCTAAAGTTGAGGACTCTCTGCAATCTTCTCAGATACAAATATCTGAAACACTTCAGCTTGTTAATCCAGTGCTGTATATGCTATGCAAATTTCTTAGGCAAGTCACCTTTCTCGTTCAATTAAAAGTTCTGAAGTTTGGGTTATTTGGGGGGGATTCCACAAAATATTGGAAGCACTCTCAAATAAGGTCAATATGATAGGATTGCA